TTTTGGTGTAAACACATTCCTTCGAAATGATCGAGAAGAAGCGCTTGCACCGATTCCGACGCGTTTACGGAATAGTATTGCGATTATATCACAAGGATTGTTCTTGGAAACACTACCAACGAAATAAAATTCCTCTACACGCGGCTTTCGTTGCCATTGATGTGTTGGTTTTGTAATTACCCACTACTTAGAGGTATTAAGCGGGTGGATTGGGTCAGACTAAATATATAAAGTATGGGTTGGCCCATTTAGACCCCCTTATCTCATATAGAACCGTTTTGTTGCGTGCTAACCTATAGCTAAATCAATTATGAAAACTCACACCCGCTTATTCAACTCACTTTAAATCTCTTCCGATGAATATGTTACTTTGATAAAATTTTACGTCAAATAAAAAAAAAAGGAGTAAATTAACAGAACAAAAAGGTGTTAGTAAACAAAGTGGAAAAACCTAATAAAAACCTAAAGATCGAAAAAACTTGCAAGGAACTAGAAAAAGATCAAACGAGGAATGTCGTCATTGTAGGTGCGCTAGGTCGTCGTCGTCGCGGGTTGAAAAGTAGGGAGCTTTGGTGTCCAAGGGATTGTCGCCTTACGGGCTTCTCGAATCGGGCCTTTCGTGCACATCCACTTAAGAAAACGATCCAACGTCTACCCATTTCACATTCGTTTTTCTATCTTGTTCTGCTAAAGCTTTGCTGTGTCTTTTTGACCCGCGACCCATTCTTTTCAGAGCCCTCCAACTTGCTTCCTCGCAAGACGTCAATGACGTGATGACGCCCACTTGCGTCCGGTAGGTGAAGGTTTGTCTTCAAGACAGACTGCAAAATTTGGCCATGCATGAGCCCCCGGTATCTTCTCTTTTGTCGCAGGTCCTCATCATCATCTGTCATACGTTTGGGATAAGACTATACTTCGAGTATCTTTTGAGTCATATGCAAACTATAATTTCACTCTGTCTAATCTTCGAAGGGACACAGGAACTGCCCCTTTGAAATGCATCGCGGAAACTATAAGGTGGTGGACATGGCCTTCGAGGCTATCCTAGGCGGGAGATACAGTGGTTCCAACACGGGACTCACCACACCCAGACCAAGCTTACCCTTTATAAGGCCCTATGTTACTTACCCAATAACAGGACTTTCAACTGATAAGATACTTTCAGATCGTGCAGATCAACTACTTAGCGTGCCCTTGAAACCATCGATCTGGTCCCATATCATCTTTTCCTTGCTGATGTGCTCTTAAAAAGAGGGAGGAGGTTCCAATAGTCCTACGTGAGCCACATGAATAAGATCTTCTCTTCTTCGATTTTCGGATTCAACGGCTATACCAAAACCGAGTACAAAGTGCGCAAAAAGTTAAAAAGGCCCATCCCCCCCGACTTGCGTCAACGCGCTCTACCTTTCTACAGAAACGTCTGGTTCTATCTCGACAACTGGCGTGGCGGGGCCGCGTTAAAGGTAAAGGTGGCCGCACTCCCTCCACCATCGAATGTGCTCAAGAACTACAGCAGACAACTTTTGTCCATACCGACCTCCTCAATTTCGGATGCTTGTCCAAGTGGCTGTTGGAGTCTTGCTGCGAGCCGAGCTTTAGTATGGGCAAGTCGGCATTGCCTCCGTACGCTATGCCACGTGTCTTTTGCTAAACTTCGTATCAAAGTTCCAAGAAAAAAATAGCTTGACATACCATTTAGATGGAGGCAAGCTATATGTGTAAGTCCCTTTGATGCCACAAAACTTACGATGCCCCACTGCGCTCATCTCTCCATGACATAGCCATCAGCACCACCATGACTCTGCTATCATCACCGCAGCTCGGCCACCATCTCTCTGTCTTGCTCGAACCCGCATGCTAAGGCACGCCTGCACCGCCGCCGCCACAACAAACCCAGGTTGAACTGTCCTAATGTCACCTCGCCGAGAACTTATGTTTGGAAATGCAATTTAAGGATGTCATATAGGCAATTTTTCAGTGACACGTAAGCAATTTTGGGTACTGATCATCAAAAGGACTTAATTGTACTTTTTTATAAAATTTTTTAGAGTTTAACTAAACCAATTGAAAGATTCATGACTTAATCGTTTTTTTTTTCCACATAGTTTAGGCCGTCCGATGCATTTTATTTCCGTTGCCATGCAAAGATCAATTTTTTCTGCATTTCGAAATTATCGACCACCATTATGGTCATATTTCTTTTTAGATAATCGCATAAATGATCCTCCACTTTACTCGAAATTTGGAATTTTCCATAGATCTTGATTTAATTTAAAACAATTCATGTACTTTCAAAAAAGTTCTCCGTTAAATCCTTTGGTCAAGTTGTTATAGTGAATGCGCTGAGTTGGACGTTAAAATGCTTATTTGGACAAACAGAGTACATGTGTCGATTTTCAATATGCTCAAATTCCAATACGGTGCTTATGTAATATGCCAGGTAGGTAAAAAGTAAATAGACCAATTTGACTATTTTTCCTCAAATAAAAATCCTAGTTAATGGGAAAAAACTGTCGTCATTCCCGTACGTAGACTGTTTCGAACAAATAAAACACATGGAAAATTTTGAATTTTCAACAAGCATATAGGGATTTTTGTCCCCATTTTTCCCTTTTATAACAAACAAATAACACTTTATTAGTGTTTTCCAAATCATTAATAACGGGAAAATTGTCAAAAAAGTCTTAAACCTATTGCACTTTTGCCAATTCAGTCCTAAACCTTTTAAGTTTGCTAATTTAGTCCGGCCTAATTAAAAAAAAAACCTCAAACTTTACACTTTGTCCCAATTATACCCTAAACTTTTTTTTGTCTCAAGAAAAACCTCAAACTTTTCTCCAAGTCCCAAATCTACCCCACCGTTATAACTCTGTCCATTAACGTCGAAAAAAAAAAAAAAAAAACAGGCGGTGCGCGCGGCAAGCCTTCACCGGTGGCCGCCGCCACATACTCCCAGGGAAGGAGCGGCGGCCCTCGCCCGGGCCTTCCCGAAGGCGGCGACCCTCGCCGGCCCCGGCGAGTCAAGCCGGCCCCGAGCGAGTCGCCGGCGAGGGCTCGCAGCCCCGATCTCGGGGCGAGGGTTGTGCCCTCCCCGGATCGGGGGCTACAGCCCTCGCGGCGACTCGCCCGGGGCCGGCGAGGGTCGCCGGTCTTCGGGAAGGCTCGGCGAGGCCTCGCCTAGGGTCGGCGGCCCTCGCCAGGGCCTTCCCGAAGGCGGCGACCCTCGCCGGCCCGGGCGAGTCGGCGGCGAGGGCTGCGGCCCCGATCCGGGCGAGGGTCGCGCCCTCTCCCCAGATCGGGGCTGCTGGCTCCTGCCGGCGTCTCGCCCGGGGGCGGCGAGGGTTGGCTTGGCCTTCGGGAAGGCCCAGACGAGGGCCGCCGCTCCTTCCCGGCGGCTGTGGCGGCGGCCACTGGCGAAGGCTTGGCCGCGCCGCAACTGCTGGTTCCGTTTTCTTCTTCTTCTTTTTTTTTTTTCTGACGTTAATTAGACAGAGTTATAACGGTAGGGTAGATTTGGGACTCGGAGAAAAGTTTGAGGTTTTTCTTGAGACAAAAAAAAGTTCAGGGTATAATTGGGACAAAGTGTAAAGTGTGGGGTTTTTTTTGGAATTAGGCCAATTTAGTCCTAAACTTTTTCACTTCTTGCCAATTCAGTCTTGAACCTTTTCACTTCTTGCCAACTGAGTCCATTTGACCGGCCGGCGCTGACGTGGCCGCCGACTATCCGGCCAACGCTGACGTGGCAATTTTTAAATATTTTTTTTCGAATTTTTAAATATTTTTTTCTGCCTTTTCCCCCTGGCCGGCGAGGTCGACCTCGCCGGCCTTTGGCGAAGCTCGCCCCCGCCGGCCACTGGTGAGGGTGAGCCTCGCCCGCTGCTGCGAGGCCGGTCTTGCCGTCGCGGTTGGGCGAGTGAAACCCAGCGACGGCGAGGTCGGCCTCGTCATGGCTAGGCGAGGCTCAACCTCGCCGGCCCGCGCATCTGGCCGGTCGCCAGTCGCCAGACCGGCTAGAGGGAAAAGGTAGAAAAAAAAAGAAAAAAATATTTAAAAATTCGAAAAAAATATTTAAAAATTGTCACGTGAACGTTGGTCGGACGGCCGGCGGTCACGTCAGCGCCAGCCGGCCAAATGGACTCAATTGGTAAGAAATGAAAAGGTTTAGGACTGAATTGACAAATTTAAAAGGTTTAGGACTGAATTGGCAAAAGTGCAATAGATTTATGACTTTTTTGACAATTTTCCCCATTAATAACTAGAAATTGTTGTCGAAACTCACTTAGCCAAATTGATCTAACCACAAACACACTCGTCTACACATGTAGTACTTGATCCTTTAATTTGGCTAAGTAACTTTTGACAATAATGGTACAACGGCCTTTTTTTTTGTTTTTTATATAACCGAGTCATAAACAATTGAAATCAGCAACCTTTGATCCATCGACACCGTAGAGGTCGATGGTGGTGGACGATGGTTCGGACAAGTGGAGAGAATGAGAGGCCGCGTTATCTCTAGTTTCATCGTTGGCACGGCGGCGGCAACCGCCATCGATGAAGGGAAAGATCGGGATCAGGTTTTTTGTTGGATGATAGTTGTTTTTTCAAAGTGTGAGGATCTTTTCTGCAAAGTAATGTAATATTGGGATAATCAAAAGTTTTGCTTGCTCGGCGATGCGTCATTATTTAATTGCTCAAACGGCTTTCTTTGTAACAATTGAGATGCGCAGGAGGTCTCCAAATAAATGCGTTTGGAACTATGCTTTTCCGACCCTTGTTTTAGTTGGATCGGATGACCCACGAAATCGTTATGTAAGTATAGTATAACTGCTTCAATTTCGATAAAAATCATCTAAAATACTTAACTTAGGTGTGCTATGCTCCAACCCCTATTCTCTTTCTACTAGATCATTTCTCTTTAAATCCAAAATAAATCATTTGTATCGGTGACATATAGTAGCTTATATATAGCCAACTACCCCATCATCATTCTCCCTTGCAATTGAACCCCTCTCTCTCTCTCTCTCTCTCTCTCTCTCTCTCTCTCTCTCTCTATGAGAGAAAAAAACATGGGACTTCTTCCATGTCCCTTGCCGTGCAACTCCCACACCGCCATCTCCTCCGACCATCATCACCTTCACTCCGAATCCTCGAGCTCCCTCTCTTCCCAGTCCAGCCTCCCCTCCGTCCCTTCCCTGACCCCTCCTCCTCAGCCGTCTCACCCCCCTGACCAGTCTCCGGCTCCCGCCCGCCACCGTTGCGTCGCCACCTTCTCCAGCCACTCCTCCTACATCTCCTCCCTCGCCCTCGCCGGCAAGTCCCTCTTCAGCGGCTCCTCCGACGGCGAGGTGAGGGCGTGGGCCCGGAGCCCGTCCGGATCCGACGCGGGGCGCGCGGAGGCGGTGGCCGCCGCAGCTGCCAGCACCAGCGCCGTCAAGAGCGTGGTGGCGCGCGGGGACAAGCTCTTCACCGCCCACCAGGACCATAAGATACGGGTGTGGAGGATCGACGCCGAAGGGAGGTACAGGCTCGCGGCCTCGCTGCCCACCGTGACGGACCGCCTCGCGAGGCTCTTCTCGGCGAAGAACTACGTGGAGGTGCGGCGGCACAAGAAGTGCACGTGGGTCCACCACGTGGACGCCGTGTCGTCGCTGGCGCTGACCTACGACGGCTCGGTGCTGTACTCGGCCTCGTGGGACCGGTCGTTCAAGGCGTGGCGGGTGTCCGACTTCCGGTGCATGGAGTCGGTGGAGAGGGCGCACGACGACGCCATCAACGCCGTCGTCGTGTCCCGCGACGGCCTCGTCTACACGGGCTCCGCCGACAGGAAGATCAAGGTGTGGAGGAAGGAGGGCCACCAGAGGACGCACGCATTGGTCGCGACCCTAGAACAGCACAGGTCCGCGGTCAACGCTCTGGCGCTGAGCGAGGACGGATGCATCCTCTACTCGGGCGCCTGCGACAGGTGAGCATCACTATCCATTCTACTAGAAGCTATATTCAATCGCCCGTACACGAAACAAGCAAATCCGCAGCAAAATTCAAAACTCACAAATGGGTGTATTTCGGATGATGATAGGTCGATCCTCGTTTGGGAGAAGGTCCAAGACGGAGAGCGGAGCAGAGAACCCGACGGCGGCAGCGAGGGCGGCGAGCACTGCATGGTGGTGGTGGGGGCGCTGCGAGGGCACACGAAGGCGATACTGTGCCTCGCGGTGGCGGGGGACGTGGTGTGCAGCGGGTCGGCGGACCACACGGTGAGGGTGTGGCGGAGGAGGGAGGGAGAGGAGGACCGGCGGTACTCCTGCCTGGCGGTGTGCGAGGGACACGCGAAGCCGGTGAAGTGCTTGGCCGCGAGCGTCGACGTGGACGGCGACGGGGACGGCGGGTCCCACTCCGGGAGGAGCGGGACTAGATGTCTCGTCTACAGCGGCGGATTGGACTGTAAGATCAAAGTATGGAGAATTTGGGTTCCCCATCTTTGATTTTTTTTTTTCCAAATTTTCTGATTTCTTTTTTCTTTTCCAATTTATGTTTGCTTATAGGAAAGAGTAGGTGGAGGGTTGGGTTGGACATTTCCGTCCACTCATCGACATCTTTTTCTGTGATTCTGTTCGTATGTTTTGGCTTCTTTATACTTTCTTGGCGATTTGTACGTAACCAAAAATGAGATTTTTCTGTTCTTCTTCTTTTCTTTTCCCTATAATTTGTTCCTCCTTTGGGAAAATGAGACAAATAGTCTTTAACCTTTGACACACCGTGAAACTTGATTTCTAAACTTTTAATTTATTCAATATGATCCCTAAACTTTAGCTCAATATATAATGCGATGCCTGAAATTTTAATTTGTTAAATGTAACCCATGAACTTTTGATGCATGTTCAATTTAATCTTTAGATTATACGAAAATGTTCGTTGTTGTCCCTGATCTTAAATAATGAAAGGATTATATTAAATAATTTCATATAATTCATGGACTATATTGAATAAATTAAAAGTTCATGGACCACATTGAGAAAATTGAAAGTTCATGGACTATATTGCAAATTGAGTCAAAATTCAAGGATCATTTGCATTATTATCCCTTCGTTTTTCGTTCTTTTTATTCTCGATTTCTCGTGCGAGATCCGACCGCCGACATTAAAAGTTTTTTTGATCCGATGGTCTCGCTCGGGTTCGCATGATTTTGTGGTGCAAAACATCGTGCCACCGATAAAACGCCCGAAAGCCGACAGAAAACCAGGACTGGCTCTCGTTGTTCCAGTTGACCACAGGTGAAGACTGAGGAGCAGAAGCCAGAAGGTCAAGGCGAGGGGCTCTCAAAGTTTTCCAAAATGTACCACCGTGGGGCCGTTCAAAAAGCGTCTCTGGTTCCACCATTTTCAGCCTAAGACGACAGCACAAAGGAGCATGACCCTTCACCTAATTTGCTTTGAAAAGAAGGGACTAATGATTTGCAGATACAAAGGATATACGACGACGAAAACCTAGTAATTATTGGAATGGATACTGGCATGAATATGAATGGGTGAAAGCAGCATACCACCAAATTAAGTTCTTTGAAAGCATGAGAAGCATGAGTATACTGTTGATGGATTAAGCTGGCAAATGTTAACTCAAGGAACGTCGAAGCGTGACTATAAAGTTCAAAATCAATGAAGCAATTAAGATCGAGGAGAAAGGGACATACAGTTTTTTAGGAGATGCACTTGAAGAAGACAGGGCAACCGTCGTGCAAAAGGTAAGATCATGGGGTAGTTAACACGTCGTATGGCATGAAAACGTGAACATGAAATTTGCGGAAAATGGAGGACATGGAGGCAATCGACAAAAACCGTTCGAAGAAATGCAATCTCTATAAATTGCCAGAAAGTAGTTACCACTAGATCATTACAAAAACACACCAGCCATCTACTAGAAAAGCCACCTTTTCCTAGGACATAAATCAAACAAATTTACTATCTTTTCGGTATTTTTACTTTCCCGCACTGCACTTTATTTTCTTAGCTGTAACTTTTGGATTCACTTCATCGATTAAATTCCAGCGTGTAATCTCTATCTCAGGTGCTATGTCGTCAATTAAATACTAGCATAGTATCCTTATGTTCTCAAACTGTGTCGTCGATCGAATTTCATCATAGTTTGTTTACATCTGGTTACTTTATCGAGCCTGTAGCTTCCACGCCTTGTCATCGATTAAATTCCGACAAGGTTTGTATTTGTATAGTTCTGTGCTAATTAGAGCTGCTGGTTCCTTTTGTCTGTGACATTTCCTGTTCGGAGTTGGCGTAGAACCCTAATTTCTTTAATTAAAAGCCGAATAACGAATTTCGGTGAAAGATATTTCGTCGCGAGATAAATTCCAACGAAACGGTAACAAAGTCATTTTATGTTTCAATTATGAATAAATGCCATATGGGTTACGATCTATTCGTGGCTGCAGTAGTTAATATATACCAGAGAGAAATGATCATGGCTTTGATATAGCTTAAGCACTCTAAGAAACAAGAATAAGTGTTCCTACAAAAATTTAATTGATGTTGGCTGCAAGGCTAGTGCCAGGTAAAAAAACTCTGCTCAGGTCAAATCACGCCTAAAGAATTATCAAATTTTCTTTGTAAAACTAACCAGCTCTTGAAGGATTATAATGGTAGGGCTAGGCGAGCTGGGGCTCAACAAGGGAATTGTGTGCCTAGACTTACTCAAGTGCACCCGTTTTCGTTCTCCGGGTTGATCCGACCTTAACGACATCAACGGACCCCACCCATTTGATCGGGTCTAATTCCATAATAACACTTACAAGCATTGTTAGTCGTTTGATATTTGATCTGTATCTTAACTCCAAAGCCTTCTGTAATTGAAAACTCGTGTGGAAGTGAACGATAGCACCAGGAGTCAAACTGTGCCGAAACATGACGAATACCTGAAGCTCTTTGTCTCCCTAAACTCAAAAGAACTTAAATATTTTAATCTTATAAAGCGATTATGCTGATGCAAAGCAAAGCAAATCGAGAAGGGCCTCTCTCATTTATCTCCATTTGATTTTGGGAGATATAGATTTAACACGGGAAAATTACCAAAAAAGTACTAAACATTTTGCAACCAAAAAAGCCCTAAACATTTTGCAATTATGCCAATTCAGTCATAAACCTTTTTTTTTTGTCAATTCAGTCCTAAACCTTTTGCAATTGCGCCAATTCAGTCCATCCCGCCACTTTTGGCCGGCCAGCGCTGACGTGGACGCCGGCCGTCTGACGTGGCAAGTTTTAATAATTTTTTTTATTATTTTTCGAATTTTATTTTATTTTTTTCTCTTTCTTTTTATTTTTTTCCTATCTTCTTCCCCTATCGCCGATCCGGCGATCGCCGATCCGGCGACCGGCGAGAGACTGAGGCCGGCGAGGTCCACCTTGCCAGATCTGGGTGGCCTCGCCGTTGCCGGGCGAGGCCGACCTCGCCGTTGCCGGGCGAGGCCGACCTCGCCGTGACCAGGTGAGGCCTCGCTCGGCGACGGCGAGGCCTCGCCTGGCGACGGCATGGCGAGACCTCGCCGTCGCCGGGCGAGGTCAAGCCTCACCATGGCCGGGCGAGGTCGAGCTCGCCAGGTGACGGCGAGGTCTAACCAGATCTGGGCGGCCTCGCCGTCGCCGGGCGAGGCCTTGCCTAGATCTGGCGAGGTCGACCTCGCCGTCGCCGGGCGAGGCCTCGCCTAGATCTGGCGAGGCTGGCCCTCGCTAATGACCTCGCCGGCCTCAGCCTCTCGCCGGTCGCCGGTAGCCGGATCGGGACCGGGGAAGAAGATAGGGGAAAAAAAAAGAAAGAGAAAAAAATAAAAATAAAATCGAAAAATAAACAAATTATTAAAAATTGTCACGTTAGCCGGTCGGCGTCCACGTCAGCGCTGGCCGGCCAAAAGTAGCCGGATGGACTAAATTGGCACAATTGCAAAAGGTTTAGGACTGAATTGGCAAAAAAAAAGGTTTAGGACTGAATTGGCACAATTACAAAAGGTTTAGGACTTTTTTGGTAATTTTCCCGATTGAACACGTTCCGCATGATCAACAGTAATCTAGCTAACTATACTGACTTTTAGGTTTTTTATTTGGTTGCGAAAGCACAAACACAACAGACAATCATTCAAAAAAATGTCATTACGAGACTAAGATGAAAGAAACGCTCTCTCTTTCTCACCTTGTCCTTTTCTCGAGACACCTACTTTCACATTAGACACCGACTACGTGGGAGATTATGTCGCAGCCACGTACCTAAGGCTAGGAGTTAATCAGGAGGCATGAGCTAAGATAGAAGTTGATTTCCCCCCATTATTGCTTTGAGGAAAAGCTTCCATTATATTAAACTTGCGGGCGGGCTCGAGGCGGAACACTTGTAAGAGTCTATTTAGCCAAGTTTTGATTAGATTAACCATCGTTTACTTTTAGATCTCGGGGTAAAGCTGATCTGACGTTAGTGTTTAGAAATTAATCGTGATTAGCACCTGAGTCATCATTGCTCTTGCATTTTACGTGTTACTCCGGGACTTGTTTGCGTAACTAGTACTGTGGATAGTATTATGTATTTATGATTTGCGTTAGGCCGTAGCATATATTGTTCGTATCGGTTTGACTTTTTGAAAGATACATGCTTCCAGAGGAATAACAAGTTATGTGGATTCTGATTTTGCCGGTGACCTGGATGGGCAAAGTTTCTTGACAAAGCATGTGTTCAGTGCTGCGAGTTGTGCCGTCGGTCAGAAAGCACAATTACATTTGATGGTTGCTTTATCTGCAACTACAACAAAGTAGGTGGTGTCGACCGAGGTAAGAGAGCTATTTGGCTCATAGGTTTGCTCGGTGATATTGGATGGTCGCAGGAGAAGATTGTTGCCTATTGCGACGGGCAAAGTGCAATACATTTGACATAAAATCATATGTATCCCACGCGTACGAAACACATGATATCAGTACCACTTTATTCGTGCTATCGCCCGTTGAGAAAGGGCAGTAAGATATTCAATACTTAATCTCCAGGACACATGTAGACAGGCAATTCCACATGAATCGCACGGTTTATGATTTATTAAAGCCATGCAGACACGTTTATCAGAAAACAAAAGAAAAGGCCATGTATATACGACGGTGTTTTCCTTAATAAATATAAAACGTTATGTCATTAACTCCTTTTGGGCTACCATAAGCAGAAAAAACGCAGTGCTTTTCAATTTCACGTGATATGGGTCGAGACATATTAAAGAGAAAGATAGGTCCACTATACCTTCAATAATAAAGACTAAAAAAATAATGTGGGCCTAATGAGTTGCATAGAATAGCTGTATTTAAAGTCATTTTAGCCGATGAAACTTAAAACAAGTCTTGAAAAAAATGAAAAATATTACCAAAAAGTACTAAGAATTTGGTTTGGAATTAAGGGTGCGTTTGTTTGAGGGAAAGTGTTTTCCAGGAATTTGTTTTCCAGACTTTCATCTATTTAGTTCGCCAAAAATAATAAATCAACTGAAAATACTTTATGGTCAAGGAAAACATTCATGTATAAAATTAGGAAAGTGAATTCCCTAATCTAAGAAGGCGAAAACACTTTCCGAAATTGTTCATCTTGAATTTGTTAATATTTTTCTTTTCTCTTTTTCTTTTTTTTTTCTTTTCTTTTTCCTTCTTCCTCCCTCTGCTGGCCG